TTTTGGATAGTGTCTTATTAATTTTATAAAGGACTTTAAACTACTCATGCTAAATTAAAAAAAAACAACCTTATAATTGTTATTTCGATATGAGCATAAACCGAAATGTTCAGAAGTTCTAGCAAGAGTCAGAATATAGAGCGTCAAATTCAATTTTGATATTGGCCACAGTTGAAAGGTATAAAACAAGGATCTAAACTTTGCAGAGAGTAAAACACCTAAATTAAGACACCATACATTTTTGACAAAGGGTTTTAAATTACTACAGGTCGCAACGAACAATTTGGTAAAATTCTTATGTCATTATTTATTAAGGTTTTTAGAAAAAAGTCAGAATCTTAAGCATGCTATTGACGTTTGGTCATGAACTCAAATTCCGGTATCAAAATATCCTGCGTCTCTATCACTTGCGATTGATTAATTACATTTATATATTACTAATGTCAAATTCAAAAGGTGAAATAACACTCATATTGTGTCTTTGTATCGATTCATTTCAAATTGACACTGATCAAAGTAATCTTCATTCGAAAAATAAATGAAAAACGGGACTTATTTTCCTTTTGTTTCGTCTGACGGAGTGTACATTTTACAGCTGGTTCGATTTTTTTACATGCATATCTTTGCATTAACGATCGTTTGGAATTTTTAATGAAAGTAAAATATTTATTGTATGAAGTATTTTAGATCAGGAATATTTATAACATAAGATGTAATCTTTATTCATATTTCAAAATTTGGTTCATTTTCACTTGCACGAATGGATATAAGTTCAACCCCAGATTCCAAAAAAGGTATTCATATTATATTTTGTGGATTTTTGTTTCACTCTTTGCCTTTTATTTGTTGTCAATGTGGCTGTTTGTTCTTTTCATCAAATATTTAGTGTATCTCACGAATAAAGTTAACTTTTGTTTGTTTGTCTGCGATAGGTGTTTAAATAATAAAGATGTTCTTGTCCCAGGCAGAAAACCCTGGCCGTGTTAGGCGCAACTTTTTGGAAGTTTTGGTCCTCGGTGCTCTTCAGCTTTGTACTTGTTTTGGCTTTCAAACTTTTTTCATCTGAGCGTCACTGGTTGGTCTTGTGTGGACGAGACGCACGCATGCATTGTTATATTATAGTTCGTTTCTGTGTGTGTTACATTTTAATGTTGTGTTTTTGTTGTGTCGTTGTTCTCCTCTTATATTTGATGCGTTTCCCTCAGTTTTAGTTTGTAACCCGGATTTGTTTTTATCTCTATCGATTTATGAGTTTCGAACAGCGGTATACTACTGTTGCCTTTATGTATAACGAAGGTAAAGACGTGTCATATACTTACATGTTCAGGGACATTATCGCAAATATGTTACTGATAAATAAAAGATACATTTAATGTATCCTAAAAGTTATCATTGGTTTTTTTTAAACAATTCGGTAAAAAGTCGGAAATCCTTTTAACATGTTTAACGTTGCATATATTTTAACAATGATACATTTTATCACGTTCATCGATCGATTATACAACTTAAGGTAGTATAAGATTTTTCACCAACTTCGGTAAAAAAAAAATTTAAAACAGAAGTTTGGTTAAATTGCATAACCAAAAATGAGTTGACAGAAATGCAATGCAGTTATAGGATGTTTCATTTTATTTGAGAAAAATTATGTTTCTTTATCTTATTTAAGTACTACTTTAACAGTTTCAAACACTCTTAAATCCTTTGATAAAAGGAGTTTAGTTCTTTTAATATGAAACGACAGTAATGATACCACAAAGGCAAATGCAAATCTGTTTAATCTGGATAATAATGATAGTGCAAGTTAAAATTGTAAAATTTATAGCTTTCTTCTAATGTATGATGTATTTGCATAATGATGGAGAATTTTGGGTTTTAAAGTAACAAGTTATTCCAGTAACAAGTGCTCGATTTCAATTTTTTATCAAAAGGACACTGGATGTAAAAAATTATCATAGAATATAATGAAAAAGGAGACGAACTGGAAAAAAAACCAACTAGTAAAAACGCTGTAGAAATACCCATAAATACGGAAAATGTAAAAATATATTTCAAAGTGATACGATTTATCGGTACATTGTGTGACGTCAAGAAATGGGATCTGTTTGAGGGAGTATGGTATAACGAACCTAATATTGTAACATACGAACAGTCACCCGAGGAAAGACTGTTTACTCTTGATGGGTCACTTTATTATTAACACTGTTTTTTCAATTTATTTAGTATTCAGTAAAATTGAGAATGGAAATAGGAATGTGTGAAAGATACAACAAACCGACCAAAGAGTAGAAAACAGCTCATGGTCACCAATGGGTCTTCAACACAGCGAGCATTCGGAGGCGGGCTTCAGCTGGCCCCTTAACAAAAAAAATGTGCACTAGTTCAGTGAAAATGGACGTCACATTAAACTCCAAAACATATTAATGAACTTAAAAAAAAAAAAAAAAACAAGACTAACAAAGGCCATCCCTGGAGCTAACATAAAATTTCAGTTGGCATTGGTATTTTCTGTAAAGTAGCGGATAATTTGCGAAAATGAACCAATATTCAAAAATATACAAAGCAAGGGCCCTGAAAGGGTCATTAGATTAGATTTGATTAGATTTTTTGGTGTTTTAACGCCACTTTTAAGCACAGCTTTTGGGCTATTTCGTGGCGGCCAGTTTTTATTGGTGGAGGAAGCCGGAGTGCCCGGAGAAAACCACCGACCTTCGATAGGAAAACTGACAATCCTAGTCAATTAAGATTGAAGTCGAGTGCACCCGCACGAGCGGGGTTCGAACTAACAACCTCAGTGTTGACTGGTTAGTGATTACAGTAGTAACTACTTAGACCACTCGGCCACCGAGGTCCCCTCATCAGATTAGAACCACAAAAACAAAAAGTTACTACTGAAACATAATGTCTCCTAAAGTTGGAGGGGAGACGTAATAAGACAAGAGTGAACACGCTGAAATGTCTCACCTGCTTTACTTATCTTGTTTAAATAATATTGAAAGTCTGTAATATGAAAGGTTTGTTGAATAATTCACATACATTGAATGCATTGTGCACTTAACATCATCAAAGATCCAGGCAAATGAGGTCAATGTCAGATTAATCCTGCTTAACTGCATGTATACCATATAATAATTCTGAAAACCAAATATAGTGACCAATTGCTTATAGTATCTGCGAAAAAGACACAATAATGCAAATCTAAAATTGACTAATGAATCATGAAAATGAGTCCAAGTCAGATGAACCATACTGGACAGGCATGTACACCTTACACTGCTTCCATATATCAAATATAGTGACCCTTCTTGCATATAGTATCTAAGAGATATACCAAACCGGAGAACTTAACATTGTTCAATGAACCATATAAAAATTGTCAAGGTCAGATAAACCCTACCAGAGAGACATATAAACCTTACATTCATTTCATTCACCATATATAGTTGTCAAATTTATAAGTGTACCTAACAGACAGATCAAAACACAAAAACGTAACATTGACCAATGAACCATGAAAATGAGATCAAGGTCAAATGAACCTTAACAGGCAGACGTGCACATCTTACAGTCATTTCATACACCAAATATAATTTACCTATTGCTGATGTTATCTTTTAAACTGACAAAAACCTTGAAAACTTAACATTTATCAACGAACTATGAAAATAAGGCGAAGGTCATATGAAACCGCTAGGCAGACATATTCACCATACAATCATGCCATGCACGAAATACTTGGTCCTAGTGCTTTATAATAGGTAAGAAAATCACAACAACCACAAACACTTAACATATGTTAATGAACCACGAAAATGAGGTCAAAGTCAGATGAAACTTGCCATTTGGAAATGTACACCTCACCATCACTGCATTCACCATATATAGTTGACCTATTGCTTATAGTGTCTGAAAAACGGAGTTTCCGTATCTCAGTTAATACCTTACGCTCGTGCATGTTCACACGATATGGACCCTATTTCACAAGGTTCTGTGAAATATGGAACGGAAAATGTATACTAGTAATGTAATGACAGAGGAAGAAATAAACCGTTACAATTACAATAGTTACTACTTAGACCACTCGGCCACCAAGTCCCATAAACTGTTAGAACCATAACCCCCAAAATCAATCCCAACCTTCCTATTGTGTTTAAATTTCATAGATTTCTATTTACTTATACTAAAGTTATTGTCTGGAAACTAAATCTATTTGGACTACGCTGACAACGACGACATTGATGACGACGACGCTGAGGACTTCAACGACGACGATGTGATACCATTATACGACCGCAATTTTTTTTGCGGTCATATAAAAACAAAGAACCCCGAACACCAAACGGCGAACAAACAAACGGCAGCGAACAAATATCTTCACATAAACCTAAACAATTCAGAGAGGCAAACCCCACCAATTGAATGCAATTTAAACATTTTCTTATTAAACTTGTTGTTTGAATTTATGTGATTTTTTTAAAGTAGGAATATGAGGTAGCAAATGTTTGCTAAATAAATGAATAAGAATGAATTAAAACACACAAATCCTCTAGCGTCTATTTAAATCCTGCATTACAAGGATATATATTTAGCAGGGAATTTCCAATAGATAAATACGTCACTCTATTTGACATAATTGTAAAGAAATCATTACCATAAAGAAATCACTTTAAAAATTATGTTTAACAGAAATGCTGTACTTTAACGACCGATTAATATATTTATATATCCGTATTTTTCTGCTATGTATATATACTTTCAAGGAAGGATAAAGTGTTGAAGTTTGTATAAAATGTGACATTATTCTACAACCAAGCAAACAGGGCACACCCATACCAATATTTCTTGATAGGATCCGAAAATTATTTAATGCCTCTATAAATAAATGTTGGTGTGTTTATAGGCTGAAATTAAACCCAAGAAAGAGAAACCTGTAAACGTGCATGCGGTAGCAAATATTTGCCCTACTTAATAAATATATAAGCATGAATTCAAAATACACAAACCTGACTGCGTCCATTTGAATACTGCGTTCAAAGATATATTTTTAGAACGTGATTTTCCAAAAAATAAATGTGTCACTGCTTTTGACACAATTGTAATGAAATCATTTTAAATAAAAGAATCGTTTGTAATTGAATTGCCGTTTGCTTTAACTGATCAATATTGCTGTATATTCTTATCTATTTAGGGTACAGTAGCAAGGGCAGATAATAATGCATCCGGGGATCCATATGTAACGCGTTATTTTTGCAAAGTTACCTAAATTTTCGGAAAAAAATAATTGACCTCATCAAATCCGGTACGTGAATTTGAAAACTATTTGCAAAGGAAAACGTTTTGTATTTTTAAGAATGCGAAATCTACTACAAGGACATAAGGTTCTAGGCAAATGAAGACCGTTTACTTTTCAATGATCAATATATTCGTATATGAAAGTAATTCGTATATCGGTTTGGTGTAAGGCGGCAATAGCTGCACAATTATGTTGCATTAACACTCTTGCTGCCTAGTTTATTCCTTGCTTTAACGCGCCAAAAGCATCCAGACGGTTCAAAAGGCCTAAGATGAAGGGCGGGAAATTTAGATTAGACTGGGAAAAGATGATATCCTCGTGGGGGGGGGGGGGGGGGCACTCTAATCTTTCTCTGGTTGGGGTGAGCAGCTGAGACATCAAGTACCCCACCTTTTTCATATATTTTGTTCATAAAAAATATATACCCTATCATATATCAATCAACAAAAAACAGACCTATAGATATATTTGGATATTTTTCATCTTCTGGTATATTAGTATAGCAATTTTTTTTTGGTCCGGCTCATCACGTTCATGTTTAGTAGCAACACAGTCACAATAATCACAACTTGCTTTTCCAATAAATTCGTCACATCTTAAACATTTTCCTCTATTTACCCCTTTTATGTCTTTCATTATGAAAAAAAAATAAAATTTCAATAGAATAATTGAATAATGGTAATCATGTTTCATGTATACAAACCTTTGAATGTTAAATAGGTGCAGATGTCAAAATAATCGGATTTTTAGCATCTATAACTAGCATCAGAGGAAATACCACATTGGAAGATAAATAGAGATTAATTGAAGTGACAAATAGCTGATGCATTTACGACTGTGGTTTGACCGCATCAAAAATAAATACTGACATCTGATTAGTTTCAGATACTTATGATATAATCAAGCAAATGATAATATCAACCTAATGATATAATAATCTAAATTTCTCACCCTTTTCATATATTATGGAGCATGAAAGAGTGACCTATTCCAGCGGTTCATCCCTACCACTCATTACATAGTAAGTGCCCCGTAGCTGGTTCCTTACCGTCTACGTTTTGTAAGCAGGCGGAAATGGTTTTTTATTCAATTTTTGTCTTGGACTTATGACAACTAGGCCACAGCTCACTCGCCCCTTTTTCTCTAAGTCATTTCCTCCGTTCTAGGAGCACCTGTGTAACACCGAGATAGAAGCTTCTAATAGGACATTAAAACTTTTATGGAAGAAGAACTGACAAACTAATCAAAACTATCATCATAATGCATCAGTGCATAAAAACAGTTTGAGAGTTTGAGAAACACGAACCCAAACTGTGTATCACCATAAACATTCCAAGAAGTCTTCAAGTCGGGCTCACGCGCTTTTTTCTTTCTAGTGTTGTATAACTTAGGACATCGTGTCCCCTACAGGTTTAACGTGACTTTCCCTATCGAATAGATATATTATCCCGCTCGTCAAGATTGTTTACAAATAAAGAAAAAAAAAAGCATAACGAAACAATAAAAAATATAATATGAAAAGGATGCCATGTTTTATTGATTTTCTTCTTATTTTTAATTCTTCTTCAAAATAGTTACTTATCTGATATTGTTTTTTTTTTTTTTGGTTAAAAGAATATGTAAACTTATGTTAGACATACGTTACCGATTTTAATGTGCATAGCATGATCGAAATGTTGACATTGATAAACTGCAAACAGCAATCAAATTAGATAAGGTTTGTTAAAAAAGTAGGAGATAACTGTGAGCAATTAGAAACCATAAAACAGAACAGGTAGTCAATTCATAAAGACTTACCTATCAATTATAATATTGAGATTTTATAGCTTACATCTTACTTAAATGAAAGAACAATTGTTTTTAAAGATAAATGAGTTAGCAAAATAACTGAAAGAATCAAACATTTTAGGATGCACTAATGCCTTCTTTACATATAACTATGCACTTCCTTCGTTTTATATGATGTCCTCACCAAAATATTTAACTTTGGAAAATCGACGAAGCAATTATTATATTTGCATATTTGCGTGATGATAAAATGTATGTATCTGCATCTGCATAATAACAAAACTTGCGCCACTCGTCAATTTCGTTAAAAAAATATAGCTTGAGTATAGCCTTATACTATATGTCTCTTGATACCATTTTACATTGATTCGGGCTAACATAGAAATACAATTATCAATCTTCCAATTTATTTACTGAGCAAAATGTGTAAAAGATAGACTAGACTTTTTTTTTTATAAATTAGTATACTTGTCAATGCCACCATAAATGCTAATGAGTACTCCAAAAAAGTATGATTATTTTAGTGTATATCGAGCGTTCCGCTCTTTTAAATTTTGACAGGATCTCGAATAGCACTACCACTATCTTACTCAGACTTGTAGTTGCGTGTATTAAGGTGGTATGGGTGTCTTTTGCCATCCTGGATTGTAACAAAAAAAACCTAAAGTCCAGATTTTCAATCAAATTAGCAAAATTTGATGCAGGAATGCAAATAACTAATGAGAATTTTGATCTAAAAGAACAAATTTACAAGATTATAACTTATTAATATTAATATTTTTACAAGTATAGATTATTTTTGCTTGATTGTTAATGTTTTTGAATTGGCATTTTAAGGGGATGTAACTCTGAATTAGTGCATTTTCTGAAGGAAACTACATGGAATTTTAGCCGGAAAAATGTACAGTGATCCTATCTTTTCTTTTGATATTCTCAAAATATTTTCCAAAAGTTATCTTTTTTCTCGTATTTTATTTTACAATTCTATAATTTAGTTTAGATTCTAATCACATAATGATGTTTTTTCCTGTATAATCTATACAAAATGTGTCATTTTGTCACAACCTGTAGCTTGAAAAAATGCGCGATGACCTATCGTTTTTATAATATTTTTTAACATATATCAATATATACTACGTTTTGGCAAAGTATGAACAAATTCTATCATTTTTGATTTAGACTCCCATACCACCTTAAATAATCAAAACCAGATTTATTAGCTCATTTAAACAAAAGATGATACATTGGTTTATATCCAGTGAATGGCAGTACAAATTATTTCTTGCGTATCCAGAATTTAAAACCAAAAACGACAAATTAAAAGACAGTTAAAAAATCGTTTGGTGTTTAAGATATAAAAAAACAAAGTCGCCATTAATTTTACCAATACCATTTATAGAAAGTTGATAAACTGCTGTCATCTTAATTAACTATTCAACTCCTTCCTTTCACTCGGGAAATTTTGGATAACATTGAACTAATCTGTTCAAATTTTAGTTCATAAAATAAATTAGGCAATGCAAAAATACTATGGCAACTTGTATCAACTGTCAGTATTAAAACATAAGATTGAGCGAATGGAATACTGAATTATGCTATTCCATTGTCTCAAGCCTCTGTTATTCAAATATTCCAATTGATACGCTTAAACTCTCACAGCAAGGGGATGAATAACTAATATCATAACCTCCTGAATTGTGGCATTTATACAATGTCACAAATTTGTGTTTTATGGCAGACATTTTAATCTAGGTATATATTCCACTTGTTCATTATAGTCTTTTTGAAATAATCACTTATTTCTCGAATACAACTTAATGACTTTGAATCGTACGAGTGATGATGGACGCAGAACAGAGAGGCCGACTTTATCCACGAACATATGGTCTTACTGTTATATGATTTTCAGGCGATTCGTATTTTCTCTCCATTATACAGATACAGATCTACATCTTGAAATGATAGACAGCCAGTGCTTCTAATGTAAACAACCTTTGCTACTTGCACAATTCACTGTGCAGAGGCAAATCAATGTTTCATTTGAACATTATAAGTACAAAACATTTTACACTTTTTTTGCCACAAAAGATCACTATTGTCTAATAATCTAACAAGAAAAAGAAAATGTTGATGCTTAAAAATTTCTTTTTTTTGATACGTGCCTTGAACAAGCTTCTATACCCCCACTTTGTTAAGCAGCGGTATATTGTAATTGAGGAATCCTTCTGTCCCTCCTTTATTCCATCCCACTTTTGTATACTCAGCTAAAATAATTGACAGAATAATGTGAAACTTTCTTAATCGCATTATGTATATTTGCTCATCCTATTTCATTTAGTCATCTGAAAGATTTTTACGGTTTATCTTGTGATGCTTCCACAAAGTTTTTTTGGCTTTATTTGCGGAGGGAACCAATTGTGTATCCGCTACTTCTTCTAAACCGCTCATTACAATTTATTATTTTTTTTCATAATACATTACTAAAAGAAATTTACTATGTTGAAGGAAACAGAGAACCTTAAACAGGTTGACCAAATAATGTAATTAAACATAATATACCATTAAAACTCAATGAGAAGAGATTATTTGGCCAAAATTAGATACTACAAGTTGGATTTTAGGAATCGGTTGCTATGCAACCATTAAGTTCCATGAACAAATTAAGGTTGTTATTTTTTAATAGTACCTTGCGAAGGGTTATTGATTGCATTAATATGAACAAGTTCTGACACATTGCCATTTAACCATTAAATGCGATTGTGCACCTCTTATTTAATGTTTTATCCGAATCGTTTTGAAGTTGTCCTTACCCTAGCATAGACTTTTTTTAGCGGTACCCATTTTGTATTTACAACACTTCCTCAACTCACTATTGTAAGTCTTTAAAACTTTCTCACTATGGTATGCAAGGTAGTATGCTTAACCAAATCCTTTGCACATGATTAATGT